CCAAGGTCACCGCTTTCTTCAAATTCTATGTATATCTCTGAATTCGGATCGCGGCAGCGCCCATCCAGTACGTCCGTAAAGGCACATGGGATCAGGCGGTAGGTAAACGAGACGGTTGCTTTTATAGTTATTGAGGGGTCAGAAAGGGCTGGTAGCGACTACTTTGCCTCGAGGATAACAGAATAGGAGATACGAAATACGAAGATCCTGTTCGTGTCGTCTTTCCTTTGCCTGCAATATCAGTATGTGTTTTCCATACTCGAATCGATTCCATTTAGCCCCGTCCAAACCATTGAAGTTCCAATAATATATCAATCGCCTGCTCTTATCGTGTTGGGATTTCACAACGGAGTGTAAAGTCTCGGAACGTGAGAAAACCCGTCGGCCAAATAATAAATCAGCAGCGCGAGACTCGCCGTTGAAGCCACCTTTGAGCAGTGTTTGGCCTTGTTTGTCGGCGCACACTTGGAATATGCCCATTTTCCTATGCTACACGGACGTACTGGATGGGCGCTGCCGCGATCCGAATTCAGAGATATATATAGAACATTTTGAAGAAGTTGAGCGATTATCTCACCCGAGATAACCAATCTAAGCAAACAACGCAACAAAAAGGATAGAATTTGTCAGTGTACCTATACGTACAATCTCAAACTACACATCCAGGCATCACGTTTATCCATTGTTTGATTTTGGAAAACCATTTCTCCGATTCTGAAATAGAGAAAACTGCGGGATTTTCATTTTCCGATAGTGGGAGGGGAGCGAGCCGTCCTCCTCTGTTACGAAGGATTGATCGATGGCCTCCCAGCAAATATCTTCGAAGCTCTATCGGTCGCCACTACGTTCGAGGAAGGATAATACTCAGTATTATTCTAGAAAAGTAAAGCAATTTGGTTGCGGAAACGAGGTTTTGAACATTGAGCTTGGAATAGAGGAATGCTTTCACCACAGTGGACTTGGCTTTGGGCATACTTTTATCTTGTAAGCACTCCACCTTTGCTTGATCTATTATTGGTATGCCTGATCAATTTCGAACCGTTTTGCCTGGCCCATCACCCAGCAATACCCGCGGGCCCCAATCTCTAAAAGTACCGACTAGAGCAGGAGATTCTCGCTCTCCGGTACTTTTGAAATAGAGGATCTATGTCTATAAAATGGGTGGGTTGCGAGTATGCGAAATGCTTGTACCCAGTCTACCCATCACTCACATACCATGACGTCTATTACTACTAACCCAGCCTACCCAGCGATCACAAAGGATGCCTTCCAAGCTGGCTGCACTTCTGCGCAGACCAAGGTCACCGCTTTCTTCAAATTCTATGTATATCTCTGAATTCGGATCGCGGCAGCGCCCATCCAGTACGTCCGT